AGGTTACTTAGGGCTGGCATTATAGGCACATACCATCATGCCCAGGTTTCTTTTCTTTTTTTAATTGTGTATGCGTGTATTGCCTACATGTATGTGAGTGCACCTGTGTCGTGTGATGCCGTGGAGGTCAGAAGAGGGCGTTGGATTCCCCTGGAACGGGAGTTAAGAACGGTTTGTAGCCACCATGTGGGTGCTGGGAATCGAACCTGGGTCCTCTGCAAGAGCAGTCAGTGCTGTTAACCTCTGAGCCATCTCTCCAGCCCCTTTTTAAAATTTTTATTAACATTATTTATTTATTTATTTCTGTGTTCAGCGTGGAGGACATTCCATGTGCTGTGGTGCAGTTGTGGAGGTTTGAGGACAACTTATAGGAGTCACTTATCCCAATTGTGTGGATTGAATAGAACTCAAGTCATCAGACTTGGCAGAAAGTGCCTTTACCCACTGAACCATCTCACCACCAGCCCTGACTCAGTGTTTTTCACAGAAGTATCCCAGGGGCCATGGATCAACCTACCACCCAGATACTGAAACCACATTCACTCCATAGTCACTGCTCAGCAAGATAAGACAGGGCTTCTTAGAAAAATGGATGATTCCACAGGAGCCACCTATGTCAAGAACCTCATCTTTCCAGCACCCTGCAAGATCCATCTTTCAAATTCCTCTGTGTATCTTTCCAAACATTGAATCATTCCTTAAATTACACCGTTCTGACCACCTCCTCTTCCACAGGCTTCCTGCCACATGGCTGTTGATGGGAAGCTCCTTCTTCACTTCCAGATCACAATCCAACCTTGAGGAAAGTCAGGGCAGAAATCTGAAGGCAAGAACCATGGAGGATGGCTGGACATGGTGACACATGCTTTCAATCCCAGCCCTAGGGAAGCAGAGGCAGGCAAATTTCTGTGAGTTCAAGACCAGCTATCTACACAGAATTCCAGACCAACCAGGGCTAAGGGAGACAAGTCTCAAAGAAGGAACCGTGAAAGAACAGCTGCTGCTGGCTCACGCTCTGGCACGTTAGTGCCCAGATTTCTTTATGTGTCTGTCCTTCCCGTCTAATGCTATCCTGTTTTCTCTGTCTAGAATTCTCTCTACATCCTTTACTGTCATTTTGCTATAATATATCCAGCCCATTTTTTTAATTGTAAGCTTGATTTGGAGCATGCTTAGTAGCAGAACTGGAAGGAGTAGTAATAAACCCCATAATCTTAATCAGAATTAAATAAAAAGAGCTGCCTGGAAGAACATGTTCGCAACGCATATAACTAGCATTAGAGAGGAAAGCTAGTGTCTGGAATCTTACATTGATTCTTATGACTCAGAAAGACCGTCCATAGAAATTTATACAAAAGACTTTAAATGATATTTCACATGAAAGAAAATCCAAATGACCAAGAAACATGAAAACAGTCTCAACCATATTAGTCATCGGAAATGAAATGTAAGCTACAAAGAGCATTTATTACATTCCTGCCATAGTAACAAAAATGAAACAATTCAGTTATGCTAAGTTTAGAAGTGCTATGATTTCTTAAGTTGAAAATAATCACTTTGGAAAACAGTTTATTCTTCAATAAATTCAATAAATGAGCAAAACAAAAAAATGAAAATAAAACTTATGGTCAGATGATATGTTTGCCTACATTATTGTTTTGAGAAAGAGTTTAGTTTTTGTTCACTTTTCACATTAAAAAAATCTACACTTAAAGTTCAGAAAGTTATGTCTATAAAAACCAATAGCATTCCTATAAAACAGTGATAACCAATTAAAAATAGAATAATGATAATCCTGTTCATCATGGGAGTCTATAAGATACCTTATATCTTATGGGAGTCTATAAGATACCTTATATCTTATGGGAGTCTATAAGATACCTTGAAGAGGAAGAATCTTCAAGGATTTGGGAGCTGCAGAATATTGGAAGATGCACAGTGCACATGAGTAGATGAAGAAAGTAATGTTCCTGAATAGGAAGGATCACTGTGTAGAAGTACCCCAGGCACTCCCAGATGGTACTGTTAAGTGTAATAAAATTCACAACCTCTTGTGGTTTCATGGGGTTTTTTCAGAAATTGATAAGTAGACCCTAAATTTTATGTAGAAAAGCAGCAGCCCAAGAAGAAGATTAGTTACTGAGATTTTTACAAAGCTAGAGCAATTAACAGAGTATTAATAGAGTAGCATTGGCAAAGGGATGGGCGTTTTGATTTTTTGGGAGGGGGTGGACGTTTTAACTAGCCCAGTGTGAAAAGTATTGTTTAGTTAATGAATTATCTTTACATGATTGATAATTCAGAGAGGAAATTTAAAGTTATCCTAGCCTTACTGTGTTGGGAGTCCCCAGGCTATCCTCAAGTCCGATTATTTGCTGGAAGGCCTGGCAGAACAGAAAAGCTGTATGCCCACGATTACAGTTTGTAACGGTGAAAAGATACAAGTTCAAATCAGCAAAGGGGGCTGGGCATGTAACTTAGTGGTAGAGTGCTTTTCTGTGGGGACCCTGGGTTGGTCCCCAGCACTGGGGGAAAAAAAATCAGCAATGAGAGAAGCAGCATAGTCAAAGTCCAGGGGAAGCCAGGCTCAAGCTTCCAGAGGAGACACATGAGGATGCACTTAATTCTTCCAGAAGTATCATGTGGCAAACTAGCTCCTTAAACTAATACAGTGAGGCCCAAGGCTTTTGGAGTATTAAACAGACTTATCAGGCTGCGCAGTCCAAGGGCTCAGAGGTCAGTTCTCAGGAGCTGATCAAGAGCGAGCTCTTCTGAAGAGAGAAGTCATTCTTTGCAAAGTGTAGGAGTTGAGCAGCCCGAACCCTCCAAATTAACCCTTTGAAATTCATATGCAAAATAAATATCTGATAATCAGAATTGTATGAGAATAAAGAATAAAAAGATAAGAGGGAGTGGAAAGATTGTAAGAGCCAGGGTTGGTGCATGAACAAGGAAACAGGCTTTCAGGCCTCTGGGAACTTGCTCATAAACTTGCAACAATGGTGGGAGCATGCCCAAGACCCATGCTGACTCAGACAAAAACCCAGTATGGAACAGGAGAAATGGCAGCAGGTCTCAACCCTAGCCAAGGAACTATTGGCAAATGATTACTGTGGGGTGAGGGAGAGTAGATCTTTAAGGGAATGACTCTAGATAACCTGTCTAGACTCCAGTAGATGAACTTGCACCAAGAGATATCTGGATACAAATGCTTTACCTGATAGGACATAACATATATGACAAAATACCTGAAATCTGGTGGCAGGGACCATAGGGAATAGGAAAAGGGGAAGGGGGAGGGGGCGTCCAAATTTGATTAAGATGTATTACATGAGATGCACAAAAACTCAAAAAATCAGAAAAAAAGATCACTTAGATTAACATTTTTCTGTCTCTTTAAAATGCACAGAATTTCATAATATGTTGAGGGAATCTCATATAAAGAGTCTGTACCATTCATTCACCTGTAAATTTCATGATTTCATCTTTCCTTACCTCTGAGTAGAACTCCATTGTGTAAATATACCACATTTTCATTATCTATTCATCAGTTAAGGGACATTTTAGATTGTTTCTATTTCTTAACTATTGTGAAAACAGCAGCAAAAAAAAAAAAAAAATGGATGGAAAAGTATCTCTACAGTAGGATGAGTCCTTTGAGTATGTGCCAAGCATTCAGTGTTAGTTTTTTAAGAGTGTTCCACACTGCTTTCCATAGTGGTTGCATGAGTTTGCAATCCCACCAGTAGTGAAAGAGCGTTCCCCTTTCTCCACATCCTCACCAGTATTTTGTGTCTTTTGTTTGTTCTCTTGATCTTAGCCAGTCTGATTGGGGTAAGATGAAATCTTAAGTGGTTATGATAAGGTGCTTCTTAACTGTATTTATTTCTTCATTTGAGAACTCTGTTCAGGTCCTTAGCCCATCTTTTTATTGGCTCATTTATTTTCTTGTTTGTTTTTGTTTTTTTTTTTTTGAGTTCTTTGTATGTTCTGCATATTAATCCTCTGTCGGATGTGTAGCAGGTGAAGATTTTTCCCACTTAGTGTGTCTCCTCTTCACTTCCTTGGTTGTATCTTTTGTTGTACAGAAGTTTTCTAGTTTAATGAGGTCCCACTTGTTGATTGTTGACCTTAATGCCTGAGCAACTGATGTCTGATTTAGAAAGTCCTTTCGTACACCTTTATCTTGTAGGGTGCTGCCTATATTTTCTTTGAGCAGTTTCAGAGTTTCAGGTTCCATATTGAGGTCTCTGATGCATTTGGAGTTGATTTTTTGTGCAGGATGAAAGATAAGGGCTCAGTTTCATTCTTCTACAGGTGGAGATCCAGTTTTGCCAGCACCCTTTGTTGAAGATGCTGTCTTTCTTCCAGTCTATTTGTGGCATCCTTGTCAACTATCAGGTTGCTGAAATTGCATGTACTCATGTTTGGGTCCTCTATTATGTTCCATTAATCTACATATCTGTTTTTGTGCCAGTACCGTACTGTTTTTATGACTATAGCTCTGTAATATAATTTGAGAT